AAAAAAAAAAAAAAAGAAAAAAAAAAGGCCATTTGATATGGTAGTGTTTCTTCTTTGGCCTTTAATGAACTAAATAATTTTTGTAATCATGGTTTTGCCACTGCGCCAGGAAAACATAATAATTCTCCCGCCTCTCCCATAGGCCTGTAACTTCTTGGAGGGTAGAAATCAGGCATGGTGGTCACATCCCATTTTGTGGTGCCAGTGCCATAGGCAGAAAGCAAGCGCTTGTGCGGTGAGTGAACTGATGACAACCCACAGGGCAGGAGTAACTGGCAGAAGGATAATTTGATCAGGTAATCAAATGGCAGCTTTCAAGTAAACTGGGATAGCAGCTACAGTAGGAACAATTATTGCCTACTGAGCCTCACCGATGTCTAAGTCCTTGGGAGAAGGCTTGGGCATCTGCTAAAGACTTCCCCCAAGCCTAGGAGTCAGGCCACTTTTTGGATGGAAACATCTTGAACATGGGTTCCTGGAAGCGCACTGCTGAGCTGTGGCCCTGGGGCGGGGCCTGCTTCTGTGCACCCTCACAGGTGCCTCCTGAGATAAGATGCACTTTGGCCAGGTTCCAGAAGGCTGTGTGTGGTCACTGATCTCTTGAACAACCTCATGATCTTTAGGAAAGGGCTTTGCTGGAAAACACTGCAGAGGTGTATTTACAGAAGCCAGCACAAAAGAACTGAAGCTGACTTCACTCACCATCTGTGGGGAGCACTGTGGAGACTGTCTAAACGGAGACCTCTCACCCTGCATTTCAGCTTCCCTGCCATGTGCTACAACATCAGCAACACTAACGGCTGCAGCTTCCCCGAGGGTCCTTCCAAGGAACTCAGATGGTTTAGTTTCCTAAGATCAGGGACATGGGGGAGCAGAAGTTTCCTTGAACCAGATGCAAATACCAACTACTTAATTTTACATATAAAGAAATGGAGGCCTAGAAAACTCCAATCACAAGTAGACTTTTGGCAACTATAAACTCTACTTTCTAATTCCTACCCAATGAAACACATGGATAGCTGTAGTAATGGGAGGAGGCTGGGGAATGAGACTGAGTTCAGATTAAAGGATTTTCTCTCTCTTTTTTTTTTTTGAGACGGAGTTTCGCTCTTGTTACCCAGGCTGGAGTGCAATGGTGCGATCTCGGCTCACCGCAACCTCCGCCTCCCGGGTTCAGGCAATTCTCCTGCCCCAGCCTCCTGAGTCACTGGGATTACAGGCACACGCCACCATGCCCAGCTAATTTTTTGTATTTTTAGTAGAGACGGGGTTTCACCATGTTGACCAGGATGGTCTCGATCTCTTGACCTCGTGATCCACCCGCCTCGGCCTCCCACAGTGCTAGGATTATAGGCTTGAGCCTCCGCGCCCGGCCAGGATTTTCTATATGATGCCACAGAGCCCAGAGACTCCCCTGCAGACGACTGAGTCACAGCTGGTGTGGCAGCAGAATCCCGAGATGCCCCTGCCCTGTCCCTATGTGGATGATGCCTCACGTGCAACTGTGAATGAGGCTGTGGATACGAAGGGTCATCATTCATTGACTCGGTTACAGGTTACATCATATAAGGCCCTATCTCAGCAGGCCAGAGAGGCAGATTCTCCTGCAGGTCTAGAAGCAAAAAAGAGTTGTGCTGTGAGAAGAGAGGCAAGGAGCTGCACGTGACCCCACGTAACACAGGAAGGAAAGCAGGGCCCTCAGTCCCACAGCCACAGGAACTGGCTTCCGCCAACTGCCTGCCCATGCTAGCGAAGGACCTCACCTCAGGTGAAGCCCCAGCCTGGCTGTCACCTTGACTCTGTCCATGAGAATCTGAGCACAGAATCCACTGAGTCCTGCCCAGCCTTCTAAGAGACACGACCATGAGCTGATAAGCGGGTGTCTCCATGTCACCAAGTAGATGGGAATTTGTCACACATCACAGAAAGCTAATAAAGATGGTATTTATTAGAATAAAGGATACTCAAACTTTAAGACATTTTTCAGAACTTTTCCTAAATACTTCAATCATATCCATTAAGTAGACATGATTTCCCTTTAATTCAGATCAACAAAATACTTTAAATGGCAAATTTTGCTTAAAAACTTACCATATTGAGTCATGAAATAAAAGAGCACTTTGAAGCTTTTGTTCTAATATTAAGGATACTCATTAGTTATTTATCATAATGCTCAGTTTTAAAAGACTTAGATAATGAACAGAAACTTTTTGAACCGAAAAAAGGATATTCTCTAAACGGAAGGATCTGTGCCTGGACGTGGTCTTCACAGGCCTGACGCAGCTGCTTGTAGAGCATGGGGGAGACTTTATGTGAACAAAGATTTTCCACAGCCTGAAAACAAAAGGGGCACATAAATTCCTCAGTATGAACAACAGATTGGTTCTTTAAAAAACCCAATTATTTATATAGCTGTAATCATAACAAAAAGGCACCCCACCCACCCCAGTACTTACAGAATCTACAAATATATTATTTATTATGGCTAAGTTTAGGGCACTTCTCATTGGAAAAAGTCACAGTTGGCATAGGTGTAAAACAGTTAATGTGGGCACATGGCACCTCAGGCCCCAGGCGGCTAGTTGGCCTGCACCACTTCTGAGCATCCGGGGACTTCTGAACAGGTTTCATACTCACAGGCCTGTTTCTGGGTGCTCTGATTCCTCAGCCTAAGGTGGGGGTCACTGGAGCATGCATGTGTTTAAGTTCACCTTGATGATTACAAAGTGAAATCAGGGCTAGTGAACCAAGAATATCTTTTCCCTCAGTGACCACCTTCTCATTAGGAAGGAGAAAAACAGGATGGGGCTCCAGTTCCCTTCACTCTCCCCAGGGCAGTGACTCCGTCCATACTGAGCTTTGTTCTGGGTGACTCAGGCCAGATTGTAGTGTTTCCTATTTATTTTTCTGCAGGATAGATGTGTAATTCACTTCAGTTTTGTCTTAAGAAACTTTTTTTTTTTTTTTCTGTGAACATCCCCAATACAAGAAGAAATCATTTTTTTTTCTTTTTTGAGATGGAGTCTTGCTCTGTGGCCCAGGCTGGAGAGCAATGTCACAATCTCCGCTCACTGCAACCTCTGCCTCCCAGGTTCAAGCAATTCTCCTGCCTCAGCCTCTCGAGTAGCTGGGATTACAGGCATGCGCCACCACGCCCCACTAATTTTTGTATTTTTAGTAGAGATAGGGTTTCGCCCTGTTAGCTGGCCTGGTCTCCAACTCTTGATCTCAGGTGATCCACCCTCCTTAACCTCCCAAAGTGTTGAGATTGTAGGTGTGAGCCACTGTGCCCAGCCGAAACCATTTGTTGAGGCAGAAAAATTTTTCTTACAATATTTCTACCCACCTCAAAGAAACAGTGCTTGTACATTCTCACTAGTTCTAATAAAATTTCCTTTCAAATCTCATGTACAAAACCTTAATCTCATTCAATTCAAATATGAAATACTATAAACAGAAATGTGGCTTTTCTACTAGCAAGTTTTGAACCAATGCAGGGTTCAAAAAATGTGGGGATATACAGAATAAAAACACTTTAGATAAATAATCTGAATGTAATATGAATACAATAGTCCCCTAGGAAAAAAGGTAAATTAAAGTTATAAAGCTATTCATTTTACTAATACTTACAAGTATTAATAATTCCAATATTATAGGAGAGCTGCTACATATTGTATTAACCAAAGTTAAATAAATACAGTAATTACTACCATATAAAATACATGCATATTTACAAAGATCAAAAGAGAATGTGGAATAATTATAATCCTGTTTTCCAACAAGCTTAATATCCGCATAACAAAGAAATACAAACTTTCCCCCTACATTTTGTCTTACTATAGACATAAGGAATTCCTACCCACATTCTGTATTTCTTTTAATTCCTTTCTCAAACTCTTCAATTCCATCCCTTTGGATTCCAAGTCTTTATAATTTGGTCAAAGATCTGCCACCTCTTGTCTCCTCAAACAACCAGGAGAACTTCAAGACAAAGGTTTTGCTCCAGTAGTTAAACCTTAGTGGATCCCACAAACGTAATTACTACAAAGTAAGTTTTTTATATAACACATGAAGAAAATGTATTTTCTTCAGCACAAGTCAAGATAAGCTTAGTGGTGCATATCCTTCATAAACAGTAACGTAGGACCATTTTCTGGATGTTTTAATTCCTAAACTAAGAACCAATATCCTTAAAACCATCTTTTCCTGGTGTGGCATATCATTGCTGAATGTTTTATAACCCACTCTTCCTCCTATGTGTCCTACTTGGTACACATTTACTATTTATATGAGTCATAATGCAATTTATTTTGTTTTTAAAATTAAGAATTTAGGAATCTCTCAAAATAAGTAGCAAGCCCTGGGTAACCCGGGTTTGCTGTAGGTGCTGAGTCAGGACTGCCAGCTTCATGTTACAGGCACTCATCACTGGAAAGGCGACAGCCTTTGTTTCTCTCCGTCCTGCCAACTCCTTGCTGGTTGGAATGCTGGAAGACTTTTTTGAGCTCTTATAGAAGCAGCACAACATAGGAGTCACCCCTCCCCGAAATGAATTTTTGAGCCTCAATGAGATTTAGCAACACCTCTCTGGAGGTGTAAAGCAACTAATCAGATGTTACTGTGTGCTTCATGTTGGTGCCCTCAGGCCGCCAGAATTTTAAAGATTCAACCCAGAGAAAGTGAATGTAATCCAATGATCGGAGGTGGAGGAGCATCATTTACATTCTACTCCTATTAATATCAAGATGCTTTCCTTGTATAAACAGCCAAGTGAGAATTTGTGTGTATCTTCACCCAACACTGTCTCTCCTCACATCATAGCTACTTCCTAACCAACAGGTTCATCAAATGATTGTCTTATTAGCTCAATATGCCCATCTATTTATAGTGTCAAAGCACTGCCCGGAGTGAACTCACTGCTACTTAAACAAACTGCTCCCTGCGGACAAGGGCAATCCCTGCTCTCAGGTGTGGAAGACAGAACAAGGAAGTCCACGGAGCTGTGGGGGGTGACCTCCACATCCACATGGAATGCAACCCCCGTAGTCACACAGAGACCTCCACAACCACACAGGATGAGACCTTCACAACCACACGGGACACAACCTCCACAGCCACATAGTGACCTTCACAGCCACACGGGATGAGACCTGTGTAGCTATGGAGGTTCCATTCCTACGCTGGGTCTGTAGCTTGGGTGTGAGGGAAGGATGCCACCACTAACCACTCCCCTTCAATGACCATTATCACCTAGTATCAAGATGTCACGGAGACAACTACTGTGTGACTCAAGAAAGACAGCCTGGCTTTCCGCAGAACTTGTATGTCAGCTGGGTACAGTGGCTCACGCCTGTAATCCCAGCACTTTGGGAGGCCAAGGCAGGAGGACTGCTTGAGTCTAAGAGTTCCCATGCAGCCTGGACAACATCAGGAGGCCACGCCTCTCTGTTTTTTTTTTTAAAGGCCTGAGACATTTGTTTTTGTGCAAAAAACAAACAAACAAAAAAAACCAGTCCTAAATCAATACACAGCCTTTCTAGAAATGCAGTATTCAGTTTTCTGTTGTCTCATTCAGCTACAAGTAGGACTAAACACAGACACAAGACACAGAAGATCCACTTTATCCAGGGAGTTAGTTATTACAGACCTAAATTCAGGCCTTTAAAAGAAAAACATTTATGCCTTCACAACATACTCCTCTACACATTATAGAAGGAAAATGACAAAAAGAAAATAAGTAACAGAAACAACAGGCCAGCTGAGGCCCACACAGTGTAATCAACAGGCCTCCTGAGGTGTTTAGAGGAAGACTGAGCAAAACAAAAACCAAACACTAAACCAAACCTTGCGAACTTGGGTGGGTGAGAATTGGTACTTTCACGCAAGATTCTTTGGCAAGGTATACATCACACCACCTATACAAAAACTTAGATTTTATTTTGAAACACCAAGTCAAATGTACTGCCTGCTTGATTAGAGATCAGTAATTTCACATTTACTTTTCTTACCATTTCTACCCCACTTGCTTCCAATACACCTGAGGCAGCCCATGCTTCAGACTTCTGTGAGCGGCCAGAAGCCCACCTGTGTGTGGAGAGATGACCAGCTGCACGTGCTCACAGGTGAGTGAGTCAATTGATTCCACATGTCCCCTGGTGGGGCAGCACCTTCAGAGATGCCCTTAGAGTTTGCGATGTTTCAACCCAGGAGGAACCAGTGACTGTCATTTTGGAGTTAGCATTCCTAGTTCTCAGGGTTTCAAGACAGACACCCAAGGCACCTGCAAACATTGTTCATAATATCTACAGTGATTGTTTTATGAGATCTATCACTGCGTACAAGGTGTTGCAAAGTAATTCCACCGTTTTAAGTAAAAACAATGAGGCAGCAGATGACAGCCAAATCTCCAGGAAAATAGTAGTAAGAAGTCTTAGCTGTAAATAGCACATTTTATTAAACCAAAGACCTATGAGGGTTCAGGTGGGACTCTTGTTTCTGGTCAAGACACAGTAAAATAACTATATTAACTTTCTGCCTGAAATAACCAGAAAAATCAGACAAAATATACAAAGCAACAGTTTTTGAAGCACTGGGTACTGGGCTAGGAAAGAGTGAATCTCAGAAGGATGAGAGGCAAACAGGCCCCAACTGCTCAGCTTCCTGCATGGAGAGCTTCTAGGCTGCGGTGTGGGGGCCCTGAGTGAGTAGCTGGAACCATAGGTGTGCATCACCCCACTGGGCTAATTTTTAAATTTTTTGTAGAGATGGGGTTTCACCATGTTGCCCAGGCTGGTCTCCAACTCCTGGGCTCAAGTGATCAGGCCATCTTGGCCTCTGAAAATGCCGGGATGAGTCACTGTGCCCAGCCTCTCAATATTGTTAAGAAATTAACTCTCCCACGTTGATCTATAGATTCTATATACTGTCAATCAAAATCTTAGCACACTTTTTTATAGAAATTGGCTGATTCTAAAATTCATATGGAAACACAAGGGACCAAGAATAGCCAAAAACCTGTGCAAACGTATGAAGGTGGAGGGCCAGCACAACCTGATTTCACAAGTCACTCCACCTACTCCTACATGATTTTTGACAAAGGAGCAAAGGCAGATCAGTAGGGGAAAAGAGGCTGAACAGCTCCACATTTACAGGAAAAACAGTGACTCTAGAGTTTTTTGTTTTTGTTTTATTTTTGTTTTTGTTTTTTGAGATGCAGTCTCACTCTGTTGCTCAGGCTGGAGTGCAGTGGCATAATCTCCGTTCAATGCAATCTCCAACTCCAGGGTTCAAGTGATTCTCCAGCCTAAGCCTCCAAAGTAGCTGGGATTACAGGTGCCTGACACCATGCCCGGTTATTTTTTTTGTATTTTTAGTAGACACCATGTTGGCCAGGCTCGTCTTGAACTCCTGACCTCAGGTGATCCATCCGCCTTGGCCTCCCAAAGTGCTAGGATTCCAGGTGTGAGCCACCAGGCCCAGCCCTGATGCTAGATTTATATTTCACAATATATACAAAAATTCACCCTACATAGATCAGAGAACTAAATGTAAAACCTGAAACCCTACAATGTCTGGAAGAAAATATAAAACTCTGTGACCTTAGATTAAGCAAGATTTCTTAGATACTAAAAGCACAATCTACAGAAGAACAAACTGATTCATGTGACTTCAAAACTTAAAAATATTGCTCTTCCACGGACACAGTTAAGAGAATCAAAAGACAAGTTCAAGACTAGAGAGAAAGTATTTGCAAGGCGAAAATCTGGTATCGGACCTGTATCTAGAATACATAATAAACTCATACACTCGAGAAAACCAACCCAATAAAAATGAGCAAAATATTTAAATAGATACTTCGTCAAAGAACGGCAAGTACAAGGATGCTTAGCATCAGAGGGAAATGCAAACTAAAACCACAATGACATTCCACCACACACCTACCAGCACAGCTAAAATTACAAACTGAGAACACCACATGCTGGCCGCAGCCTGGAACTGGAACTCCCATACACTGCTGGGAGAAACACAGAAGGGACAGCCACTTTGAAAAATAAGGAATTTCCTACAAAGATAAACATACATTTTCCACATGACCCTGATATCTTACCTCCAGTATAAAAGTAAGCAGAACTTACCTGAGAGGAATGAAAATATATTTCCAAACAAAGGCTTATTCACAAATGTTCACAGCAGCTTTATTTAAAACAACCCAAGGCTGGGCACGGTAGCTCATGCCTGTAATCCCAGCACTTTGGGAAGCCAAGGCGGGCGAACCTGAAGTCGGGAGTTTGAGACCAGCCTGCCCAACAGGCAAAACCCTGCCTCTACTAAAAATACAAAAAATTAGCCGGATGTGGTGGCAGGTGCCTGTAATCGCAGCTCTTTGGGAGGCTGAGGCAGGAGAATTGCTTGAACCTGAGAAGCAGAGGTTGCAGTGAGTGAGATCACACCACTGCACTCCAGCCTGGGCAACAAGAGGGAAACTCTGTCTCAAAACAAAACAAAAAAACAACCCAAAACATGGACACCCAAATGTCCATTAACTGAACAGATAAAACAATTGTGGCACACCCATTGTACTCGGTAATAAACAAACCACAATCACACTGTGTGTGCAGGAATCTCAAAAGCACTGGCCTAATTGAAAGAAGGCTGATACAAAAGACGATGAAATACATGATTGCATTTAGATGAGGTTCTCGAAATGGAAAAATGTCACCATATTTTGTCCCTTGGGGATTGCCAAGGGCTGGGAGTCAGTGGAGAGGACTCATTGCAAAAGTGGTCAGGGCAATTTTGGGGGTGGTAGAAATATTCTACCATTCTACTAAGAGGGGCCGGTTACATAACTGTATACATTTGTTAAAACTTGTTGAAGTACATATCATATGTAGATTGTACCTCAAAAAAGCTGGTAAGAAAACATAATCCACTTACACTTAGGACAAAGAACGGATGTATGTACACCAAACTGCCTAACGGTAGTTTTCTTTGGGCAGTAGGATTATAGGTGATTTTTCTTTTTTATACTTTTTTGTAATTTTTACAACGCAGTCACTTGCATATCCAAAAAAGATTTAATTCAAGCCTGTTAATAGAAATAACTGTATGACACATTGTGTCCTAAAATGTAGATATTAGCTACTTAATGAACGTCTTACAAAAACAGCTGCCAGAAAAAAAGTCCGCTTGTAAATGAAATCTCCAAGCAGCAAAATGTACTTTTGGCCATTATTTGCTACTTTAGAAACAGAACACCATCACTTTGAATTAAACGCTACAAAATCTGTTTGACTATCTTAAAGGCAATCGTTAATCACAAAACACAGTAGAGAAAAAAAAAAACCCGCACTGGGAAGTGACATAGTAATCAGTTTTATATGTAACGAAAGAAATAATAATTTGCTGCATACTTGCAAAATGAGTCACGTGGCTCCCAGAAACACACCTCCTTCTCTTCTGTAATGGGATAACTTTAAATATCGTTCTAAGCAGCTTAAGCCTGAAAACAAAAATTCCACCACGGCAATAAACAAAACCACTTGTTGCCTCTGCGGCTCCCGGCCTGCGGAGGAGGCAAACGCCCTGCCTTTCCGGCTCCCGGGCGAGAGCCTGCTAGGCTCCGGAGCGGCCGCCGGGCCGCGTCTGCGTCACGCGGGGCAGGACCGGCGCCCCCAGCCCCGGCCGCCGCCTCACCTGGTAGAGCTCCTCGAGGTTGTACCTGATGGAGGTGCTGCTCTGCACGGCCCGCACCGCCTCGTGCAGCTTCCGCCACGTGTCCTGCGTGTAGTTGTCGGGCAGCCGGGGTCTGTCTGCGGGGCGGAGGGAGAGCGGGCGGCTCAGGGCGCGCCGCAGGGGCCCTGCGTCGCCAACCCCCGCCCGCCCGGCCCGCGCCCCGGCCCCCGCGCCCGCTGGGGGCCCGCACGGATCTCGGTGCCTCCCCGTCCCGGACGGGCGGGGTCTCGCGAGGTCCCCGCCAGGGTCGCCCGGCCCTCGGCCCGGCCGCCGCACCCACCTCGGAAGTTCTTGATGACCAGCTTCTTGGAGCCGCCCGCGCCCCCCGGCTTGGCGGGCGCTGCGGCCAGGGCTGCGGGCTTGGTGAGGCCGTTGGTGCGGCCCACGAGCGCCGAGAAGCTGCCCTTCCGCGGGGCCTCGTCCGCCATGGCTGGGCCGGAACCGCCGCGCCCCGCCCCGAGAGCCGCAGCCGCCGCCGCCCGCCCCGGTCCGCGCGGCCTCCGCCCCGGCCTCCTCGCGCGCCCCGCCCCGCCCGGCCCGCGTGCCCGAGCCCAACCGCCGCCGCGCCCGGCTTCTCCGGAGGGCTTAGGGGCGCGCGCCGGGAACCCCCCGAGCGGTCGGATCCCCTCCTAAGGGCTTCGGACACCCCGTCCTGGCTCGGGGCCGCGCGCCGGGACCCCCCCGAGATTGGGAGCCCTACTCCTCAGGGCTCCGGAACCCCGTCCTGGCTCGCGGCGCGCGCTCCGGGGCCCCCCTACTGAGGGCTTGGCACCCCCGTGCGGGACTCGGGACCACTTCGAGAGCTCGGGGGGCGCGCGCCGAGACGTCCCCCGACTCCGGAGGGCTCGGGAGCGCGCGGCGGCGGCACTTTATGAGGCCTTGGGAGCGCGCGCCATGTTCCTCCCCTGCCCCCCCGCTCGGGCGCGCGCGCCCCTCGGCCCTGACCCAGACGCGCGCCGAGCGTCCTCTGCGGCCTCGTTTTCACGGGAGGCAGTCGAGGGGTCAGCGCAGTGAAAAGCAGTTTCGCCGTGGGGCCGTCCTTGCCACTGGACCCCAAACCCCTCAGCCGGGGCGGGCTCAAACACACAATCAGAGCCGCTGGCGTCCCAGCTGAGAGGACGGGGCCCGGCAGAAACACCCCGGGGCCCCCTCAGCCCGAGCGCGTCGCCGAGCCGGCCCCCGGCTTCTCCCTCCGGAACCACCTGCGCACAGGCGGCGAGGCCGGGGGCGCCGGGACCGAAACGGACCGAGTGCCGGAAGTGACGCCAGCTGGCCCGCTTGCGGCGTCGGTGGTGGCGCTCCCCGTCCGGCGGCGCTCCCATGGCGCACATTACCATCAACCAGTACCTGCAGCAGGTGGGTCCCGGCCAGGCAGCGCGCGGCGGCGTGGTTGGCCCTCCGCGTGTCCCGCGTGTCTCCTCTTGCCTTGGACCCTCAGGCCTCTTCCTTCCCCGCCGCGCCACCCCTTCCTCGTCCGGGTTCCCGCGAGCCGACTGAAAGGCCGAACAGCGGCGGCAGGGGCTCGGGAAGGCAGCCCGGGGTCTGCCCTGCAGGGCCGCCGTGGGCGGTGTCCGTGGATCCCGGAGTCGTCGCAGTGGAAGTAGGCGCGGGGCCCCAGATCGCTGCCGTCTCTTGCTGGCATGTGTGGCCGCGCTCCCAGGGGCTCTGAAGGCCTGCGGGCCTCGGTGTGGGCGGTGCTGTGTCGGAGGGACGTCCAGGAGGCGATGGAGGGGCAAGCGCGAGGCTGTGGCAGTGCTGCAGGCCGGGCTCGCGCTCCCGGTCCTCGCTGCTGTTTAACGCCCTTCTCACTCCGAGCACAATGCGTGCGCCACCACGCCCGGCTAATTTTTTTGTATTTTTAGTAGAGACCCGGTTTCACCATATTGGCCAGGCTGGTCTCGAACTCCTAAGCTTGTGATCCATCCTCCTCGGCCTCCCAAAGTGCTGAGATTACAGGCGTGAGCCACAGCATCCGGCCATAAATTTGCATTTTTAAAAGTTATGCGTTCCCTATGGACCACACTGGAGGGCGTGAGGGGCATGCAGCAGCCACAAGAAAGTCTTCCTGGGACCAGAAGTGGGGAGCATCCTCTGGTGAGCCAGGCCTGGGAGTGCCGCTCAGAAGGTGCTTACTTGGAATGTGGCTGTGTGGTCCCATTGGGGGCTGAAGTCTCTGCAGCATGAGATGTTAACAGTTGGCCAGGTGGCTGGGCTGCTGGGGGTCCTGTGTCCACTGTGGCGCCAGTCGCACCTTTAGGGGTTGCTGGTACTGTCTGTTGCCATCCCTGCTTTTCCTGTTCACACCCCCAGCCTTCTCACAATTTAGTCATTGAGGCAGGGGCATTGATAGGACCACTCTTGGGACACATTCATGCCTGCCAAGCAAGCTGAGGCTCTCCTTGGGTTCAAGGCCCTGTGGCACTGAGCTCTCCTCCGGTCAGGTCACACCTGGGACACTGGGTGCAGCCCAGGTGGGTGTGGTGGAGTGACTTGAGGATGTGGCGATATCACCCTGCATGTGTGCAGGGACCACCCTGGGAGGTCACAGGCAAAGGAGGGTGACCAGTGAGTGTCCCCAGCAGGGGTCTCCACCTCTCCTTGGAGGGACCCGGTGTCTAGACTCCAGGGTTTGATCCCTTCGTGACCACTGTGACCCCAGTGCGTTTAGTCATTGAAGTATGCTTCCATTCCACAGTGCTTGCTCCAGTCTGAGACTCAAAGCCCTCAGCCATCCATAGGTGGTGCGAGTGATAGCACAGTGCAGGACGCGGTATGCTTCCAACCATAGGCAGGGGTGGATGTGGGGAACTCTTTAGCGTGAACCTCCTGTTCATGTGGAGCCAAGGAGAGCACAGCTTGGTCAGCAGGCTCCAGAACCACTTTGTAGCCAGACGCACCTTAGTTGAGCACGGTTAGAGTCTGTTGGGGCTCCTGTGGCTAGGCCTGCCCACATGGCACAGAGAGGGCCACTTTATGTCCTCACTGGGGCTAAACTGACTAATACTGGTTTTCTTGGGGGACTTGCAGACCAAGACCTGGGCAGGATCCATCATTTTGCCCTCCAGCCCAGGACCAGCTACTGATGGGAGGGCAAGCAGGGAAGACCCCATGTGCCTGCCTGGCTAAGGCAGTTGCCTCCCTCATCTTCGAAGGTGCTGTTCCATTGTACCTGGTCAGGTGATCTGGAGGGAGCCACATGAGGCCCCTTTGGAGCCGAGCACCAGTATGTTCTTGCAGAGTGTGGTCACAGGACACTGGAAAGCCTCTTGCAGAGGATGGGCGGTTGCCAGTGTTGTCTTCTCTGGGCCACCTTCAGCTTGTTGATGATGATTGACAAATGCAGTGTTTCAGATTGCAAAATATTGATCTCCAGCATGGTCATTTTAAAGAGGAAACCTAATCCCTTCCCCTAAACTGTTGAGGATCTTAGTATCCCTCTATCTACCTTTTAGATGAAATTCCTAAGCCTGCAGCCAGGGCTATGAAGAAAAACTTGGTTTTTGTAACAGGGTTTTCATAATACTTGGGCCCAAGTCATCTTGCACCCATTTGTGACTTTGAAAATGTTAGTGAGGAGGTGGGATATGACGTGACCTTAAGCCGCAGCCTGTGATCTTGCATGGACTCGGGCAGGAGAGGGCTGTCTCTGAATGGCTGTAATTTTCTTATGAAGGCATAAAACCTGTGAGCACAGCTTGGCGGTCTTCAGATGGTTTCAGCGGAAGATAAAGTTCCTACTCACCTCCAATCCAAATCCCACGGGACTCTCACTTCCCCTGCTCTGTGTCCGTGTTGCCCGTTCTTACGACTGTGGTCCTGGTGACACCGACTACCCACTGCACTCACAAGCAGTTCAGGATTAGGGCCCCAGTGCCACCAACAACGTCTACTCAGTGATGTTGAAATTCAGGATTTTTTTTTTTTTGCAGTCTTTTCGTCCTTAGACTAAGGAGAGTCAGATCCCACAAAGTACTGTTTTCAAAGATTACTTATATTCTTTTTTCTGATATCCATTTAGCTTTGTATTTTCTTTTGTCTTCAATTTTAAGGTTTCCCTTTCCGTTTTATTTCCCGAATGGGGTTGTAAGTAACTGTTATATATAAAGGTGTGCTCAGAAACTTCCCTTCTGTCTCTCAACTCGTCCTACCCACTCTCTAGAAAGATCAGCATTTTCATTAGATTCTGCCTTCTCCACCCTGTATTTCCTTTTGGGATGTGCATGTGACACACACATAGACATAAGCACACATATTTTTCTTGTTTTCCTGCATTCTTATACAAGAGGCAGCATTCTATACATACTCTTTTACAACTTGCTTTTTTCACTTAACTGTATCTCCTAAAAATTATTCCATGTAAATTCCTGGAGATCTTTCTCATTTTAAAAAAATGGTTGCGTAGGTGCCTTAAAATAGATGTTTCATGGTATTCAGCCAGTGTCCTGTGTCCAGTATTTTGTGATTGCATGTAACGAGTATAAATACCTTCTGTTTCTAGTTGTGAGTCCCTGGAAGTGTGATTACTGTTTCAGAATGTCCATGCGTATGTAATTGTATGGAACAGTCAAGGGGGAAATTCCTCATCATATAAGGCAGACTTCAGTGAGGTGGTGTCAGCCTCCCAGTCATCCCGAGTTGAACCCTGGGGTAGGAGGAGCTGGGCTCCAGTGTGTTGTCCCGCTGGCCTGTGCCTCCCTTTCTTCAGGGTGTAGACACTTGTGCACAGGATTACTGGTCAGAGAGCAGGCGTTCGCTTGCTTTAGTAGAATACCAATTTTCTATGAAAATCTTACCCCAATTTACCCCACCGCCAATGTGTGAGCCTTCTAGTTGCTTCATGTTCTTGGCAACTCTTGGTGTCATCAGCCTTCCTAGTTGTAAGTACCCCGGTACGTATGTAGAGGGATCTCACTGCCTTTCACTGACGGGTGGCAGTGTGGAGGCCTCTGCCTTTCACTGATGGTGGCAGTGTGGAGGACCCTCTGCCTTTCGCTGACGGGTGGCTGTGTGGAGAACTCTGCCTTTCACTGACGGGTGGCTGTGTGGAGAACTCTGCCTTTC